CCTCTGTCCCATATCACATCGATGGTCAGGACCAAAACAGAATTACAACCCAGGTCTTCTAGTTATTTTCCTAAGCAGAGATTTGAGAAAGGTTTTATATTTTAAAAGGTTTTATATTTTAGGCCAAGCTCCATTATTACTGTACAGAAATTAGATAAGAACTTTCCATTGACACCTGCCCAGAGAAGTTTCTGACTTTTCCATGTAGCATAAATCTGCATTGAAACAGTTTAATACATTAACAGATTCCCTGCAAATCTCCTCTTGCTCTCCACGGATGACATTCTAACCTTTGCCTTGGCATTTTAAACTTCCCATAAAAAGTTATCTGTGACAGGTTTTCTCAACTCCTGGGATTTGAATACCAACAGCTCTCCTTGCTGGTCAACACCATCGAGTCTGGGTAATATTTTCTTCCTGAGCTTAGTCATGCTGCTTTAGCAGCAAAAGTTGGTTTCATCGATGAGATGTCAAGGCAAATTTGTTATTTGTTTTTATATTTGTGAAGACACTAACAATACTGTTAGAAAATAAAGAAAAAAAGAACATGTAGCCCTCCCCCTGACTCAGGGTACTATTCTAAGAAAAATAATCGTTCAGATGTTCCAATCATGAAAAGCATTTTCTTTACAAACGGTACAGTTTACTTATTTCAGAGCCCATCCCCTTAGTGGTGCAGGTCACACCATCAACCCAAGTCCAGGATCAGGCAGAGTCTCTGGCTCCCTTGCTTAGGTGGAGTCAGAGGCCTGGGATTGGCTGCCTGAGCATTTCCTTAGGAACCAATAAAATAATCCTTTCCAACCACATGGCTACTAATATAATAAATGCACATTTGCTGAGGCGCATGGCTTTCTCAAACACAAAAAAATAATAAAATTCAAAAAAAACACCTTTTTTCTTTTAGGGAGAAAATGCCAGACTTCATAGAAAAATTTTACAGCAGCAACAACACCATATATTAAAAATAATTTTCATTAGATTATAAATTTTAATTTATAAAATTTATAAAAGTTTTAAAAGCTTTTCTAACAACAAACCAACATGTGTAGGTTAAGCTAATTTACATGCGATGCATCAAGAAATCCTTAAAATTTCTACTAAGGGAGACAATATGATTATATTTTTTCTTTCTAATTTTTAATGTTTTGAATTTTTCACAGGACTCCACAATTTAAAATCATAAGTAATATCACATGTAATTAACATCTCATCTGCATAATTCTACCTAATAGTATTTCTAGTTCTCTATAGATAG